TAAAAAGCCACTTTTAATGCATTAAACCTGAATTAAGGGAAAACCTGAACTGGAAACCTGACGTGCTGAAGTGAAGTTTGGCTTCGTTTTCATCCGAAATGTGTAAGAAACACCTTGTCTGGTTCGAAATGATAAAACAAATTTTTGTTTGTAAACTGCGTTATCTTCTTAGATTTTTTCACGATCGATACTCACTTGATACAACACATTTTACTGCATTCAAATCGAAGTACTGAATTTTTGAAAAATTTTTAAACACTCTCGTGTTTAGCGGACAAAATTGCGGGGCGCATCGCAACGCTCTCTGAATCAAAAATATAATACCCGATAGAAGATTAACTGCCGCCGATTCGAATCCTGATTCGCCTGTGGAGTACGCGCGGCTCGCCCTTTGCCATTTTTCATCTCGTTCAACGTGATATTAACTTGAAAACGGCCACTCTCGGACATTACCGTAAAGCCGATCGTATCTCCGCTTCGACCCGTTCCAAAGCCGATGCTGGAGCCGAAGGGAGCCTTTTGCGGGATAAAAACTTACGACGCCTAACGTTAAATTGAATCTGACCGTCAATTTATTGTGTATCATGTTAAACATATGTTTACCACCTACGAATAAGTACACTAGATGTTTACAATTAGATGGCTCACGCTTTCAGAGCTCATTTATATTCAGCCTGTTCTTTAAAGGTGCAGTCACATCTAAAGTAAACTCTTACCGTGAATCTAAAGTAATCGTATATTTTTCCTCCGAATTATTTATATAAACATGAGATTTCGAGTTATGAACAACCACTTTTCTTAAATACGTTTAATTTAATGTGTCTAATATGTTTAATTTAGCTGATTTATTAATGATTGATTATATACGTAAGCTACATTGCTTGTTATACGAAAGAGCTATTAAAGTCATTCATTACACGAGTATCGTCGTTATCCATTCGTTATACGAACTCTAATGTTGCTACATTAATAACACAGCTCGTTATACGGGCGCTACTGCTATTACGTATTCATTCGACAAGCATTGTTGCCGCGATACGCTCACTATACGAGCGCTATCTATTTCTCCGTTAATCGTAGCTTCGCACCGAAAGCCCAAGACAACGCAGTTACTTTTCGCATTCAGCAGAACTTACGGCCAGGCGATGGCATCAAAACGGCCAAGCCGGGCGACCGGCAACTGCCACGGATTCGACGTTAAACCCGCGTAACCGTGGTAGCGCTGGTCGAATCGGAGATGCGAGAGGCGCGGTCGCGCGGCGCGTTTTGCATACGATGCGTCGCGATGCAAATCGGCCCGCGTGATGCGAACGAGATACGGCGGGTGGGCGGGCGATGCGTCGCGGTGTAGCGGGGCGTGTGTACCGGAATGCAGTCGAGCGTTGTGCGGCGAGGCTAAAGGTAATAATTGATATATAGCGATAGCATTGGCCGCTGACAGCCGCTAACCCGGCCGAATACGGATGACACTCGGTAATCCTCACTCTCATACCGGTTAGTGTCCACCTATATTCCGCGGCGTCCCATTTCCCATTCCCATGGTGTGTAAGCTCCTCTCTCATTCTCTCTCTCTCTCTCTCTCTCTCTCTCTCTCTCTCTCTCTCTCTCTCTCCCTCTCCCTCTCCCTCTCCTCCCCCTTTCCCCTTTCTCTCCACCCTCTCACTCGCGCAACCCCTTCGCCCTCCGAATCAGGCTGAGATATACAGACACTGGATATGTGTCGGTTGCGCCGCAATCAGGGGTCCAGGAGGGTGGATGATTGTGCGGCAGAGTAAGAGAGAGAGCGAAAACGAGAGAGGGAGAGGGAGAGAGAGAGAGAAGGCGAGACCTAGGGACTAGGAGAAAGAAAGACAGAGGCAGAGCGCACTGCCACTGGAGGCTGGAGCACAGAGCGACTCTCGTGCACCAGCCAGAGCGCCGCCGCGAGGTGTGCGGTGCAACCATACTAATCCGCCGATGGATTTATGGTCTTAATCACCGGCGGATTATCTCGGACAGCCGCGCTCTGCTGCCACCGACCGAAACATACGCCTGCCTCTTTGCAGATAACTGTACCCAGCTTCGCGCTCGACCTCTCTTTCTCGTTGTCTCTCTCTCTCTCTCTCTCTCTCTCTCTCTCTCT